AGAATATTTTGTAGCTTTGTTTGTTAAGCTCGGACTTAAATTAGACCCATATGATTAAATTCTTAGGAGAGAGACAACGGAATCTTACCTGGCCTGTAGAAATCAAAGATAGCTTAAATAATCTTGACAAGGAAACTATGTTAACTACTGATTCATAATGTGTTTTTAGCTACATTTTTAAAAATCAGCAGAGTGATAAGTACTTTTTTAAGGTTTATTTATTATGTATGCATACAGAACTGGGGTACAAGCCGGAGGTGCAGGGGCGGTGAGAGGATTCATCAGAGACAGAGCAGGGAGCAAAACAGGCAGATGGAGGAAGTACACTGCCGAGGGGAACAGACACACCATGTGGGTCAACTCAGGGGCTGGGGATAGAACTCACACTGAAGCGGCTGCTTCTAGCTTACAGTGCTATGTCCTAATCTATTGCACCACCAGGGAGGGCCTGATAAGTTGTTTTTTTTTTAAAGATTTATTTATTTATTCATATAGAACTGGGATACAGGCCAGAGATGCGGAGGGTGAGAGGATTCACCAGAGAAAGAGAGGAGAGCAAAACAGGCAGATCTACGAAGTACACCGCTGAGGGGAGCGGCGGGCTGGCCAGGAGAGGTCTGCCTCGCCATGTGGATCTCCTCCAGGGCAGGCGGGGATCGAATTCATGAGGAAGTGGCTTAAGCTTCTTAGTGCTGTTCTTTAACCCACTGTGCCACCAGAGAGGGCCTAAGTTTTTTGTTTTTTTTTAACAAAAAATATCTACATGCTTTACTGCAAGGTATGATACTGCTAAGACCAGAAATCACATTTGTAGGAACAGGGACATGTCTGAGACAAGGCGCAAGTGTCTTTAACCACTAATCCTGTGTGCCTACTACCATTTTCACCAACCTCTTTAAGAATACTTTTTTTTTTTTGAAGATTTATTTATTTATGCATACGAAAACTGGGATACAGGCCAGAGGTGAAGGGGGTGAGAGGATTCACCAGAGTGGGGAGTAGAACAGGCAGATCAATGAAGTACACCACTGAGGGGAGCAGAGGGTGGGGCAGGAGAGGCTTGCTGTGCCATGTGGGTCACCCCTGGCTCGGGATAGAACTCTTGCTTTAGTTGCTGCAGATTGCTTCACAGTGCTGCACTTTAACTCCTTGTGCCACCAGGGAGGCGCCAAGAACTCTTACTGAGTGTTTGTGGAGCACTCTCTCCCATGTGTAGGCAAGCACGCACGCATTATAGACAGAGCACAGGGAGTGCAGTGGGTGAAGAACTCGGGCCCTGTGTCCAAGCTGCCTTGACTTGAAACCCAGATCTACTCCTTATGCCCCACATAATCTGAGGTAATTGACTGAACCATGCTGTTCAGTTTCCTCACTTGTACAAAAATTACAGACTTAACTCATTGGATTTTTTTTTTTAAGTTCATACTATACAGAGCCTGATACCTAATAAGAATTCCTAAATGTTGACTCATATCACCATTACCATGACTGGATTTGTCATTTTAGACACAGTCGTGAGCAGCAAAGTTGTGGTTTCTGTACATGTGTGCTGTGGTCATCGTTTGCCTGTTTCTTTTTACTATATAATTCATTCTTCAGCCTTCCTCTCCTTTGCTCTGAAAGGGCCCTCAGTCCTGTGAACATTAGCTCCCTTGCCAATTGACTTCCTGTCAGGTTTGAGCAGCCGAAGATTCGGACACATAATTGAGACTGAGAAGCTCAAAGGGACGCGTCGCCTTGTCCCTTCCCAGTTTGCCATCTTCCTCCCAATAGAGCCACTTTGTGCTCCTGGTCCCACAGGATGCTCCATTCCCAGCTTCCTGTAACTTTCCACTTGGGTTGAGGTCACCACTGAGGAAAATAGGTAGAGGAAAATGATACCAAATTTCACCCTGGATCCAACTATGCTTGATGATAGTATATGACTGTATTTCTAAGTATACAGGCCTATAAAATTTTCCTTTTTTTCTTGAGCCACTTTTATCCCATTTCCTTCACTAGCCATGGCAAGAGTTCTAATGCGATGTTTGCTAAATCCCGAGAACTCTTTGAGAGGAAATCATTGAGCAAGGCAACTGGCATTCTCATTGCATACTTATCTCTGAACCTTATAACTGGTTTTTATTGTTCTGATAGGATTAAGGGAATGAAGATGAGCAAGATAAACACAATTCTCTTCAAGGGCACTATAATGAGTAAGGTTTGTTTCAAATATGGTAACTTTCGCTATGCTAATTCCAAAATGTTTTCTCTGAAGGTCTAGACAACTTCTCTTAGTTGATGTATCGCTTAAAACGAAGGACAGTTCATCCATTTTAATGCAGGAATATCAACTAAAATGCAAACCAGGAGCTTAGGGAGGAAAGTTTTCATTTATTTTCGATAAAGCAAATCCCCAGGCCTCCCGTTGTTTCTTATGAAACTTTCCCAATGCAGGAGGATTGTTCAGCACAATGAAATTAACAGTGTCACGACTGCAGGACGATCACTCATTCTGCTACATGATTTCTCATCTTTCCTCTTCTCCATTTGCCTAAAAAGATGCAATTTGTTTTCTGGTAATGGATGGGCTGCTTCTCTCTTTCAATCACTAGCATAGGCACTAAAACTTGCCCAAGACATCTCTAAAGTTCATCGTTCATCTGCTTTGGGATTTTTTTGAATCTTTCATGGTTGATGAAAGTAAATTTATAATCATGATACAAGTACAAGTGTGTGTGTGTGTGTGCGTGTGTGCGCGCGCGTGCATGCTTTGTCCTTAAAATATGTGCAGTGACCTTTTAATTTTATAATATATGGTCTGGTTGTGGTTGCTATGGAAACAATAACTAAATTCCTGACATTTGAGGGTAGGGAGATGCAGTGGTAGCAGCTGTGATCAGAGTTGAGATTGCTCATAGAATTAAAATAAAGATTAAAAGGTAAGGGACATTTTTTGACCTTAATGTTCAGCTCAGAGCAATCTACTCTACCTCTGTATTTACAAGAAATACCCCTCGGGACTAGGCTGAAAGCTTACTAGTATTCTTTAATTTGTTATTTTATCCCTAGTTTAGGTAAGTAATAGACAAGTAGGAGTTTGGAGTTTTTGTATAATTTTTTTGCATAATATAAAGTGCATGTGCACTTAGCAGTACACATCCAGATTAGTTTCACACAAAACATTATTGCTTTTAAGATTGCCAATTCATGCTTTGATTTGGAATGTGACACTTGAGATGTTCTACTTATCCTTTAAGCACAAGATCATCAGTTGTGAATAAATGCACGCCGTTCTCCGTTTGGCAGAAGTCATTTCCCTGCATCCTACTGTGGATCTTCTCTGTAGCTCTCTGTAGCTTCCTCTGCAATACGAATAGTTCTGCATTGTTAAAGTTTGGAAAATACACCAAGCAATAAGTTCACACTGTTTCCGGATTTGGGGATTCCTCAGTTCTTGACTGTGGCCAGGAAATAATTCAAAGCTATATTTAGGCAAAAGCAAAGCAAAGTTTATTAAAGAAAGAATGAAAGTACACCCAAGAGAGGGCCAGGCAGGCAGCATTCATGGAAGAGTAACCATGAGGAAAAACAGGGGCTCCTACTTGAAGGAGTGCAGGAGACAGCTTACTCCACCCCTTACTGGGAGTTACTGTGCAAGTGCCTCAGGGATGTTTCTTTATAGGTGCAACACCGATCTCTAAGTTATTTCGCTTGGAGCAGAGGGTCACTTTCCCATTTGGGCACTTCTTGCTTTGCTTTCTGGCCTGCCTCTAGGGTTGGGTGGGCAACTGTCTTTACCCCTCTGGGCATTATTCAGCTCTTCCCAGGCTTCATGTGCCCTGGGAAGTCCTAGGTATGTTGGCCATTAATTTTTCTTCAGGCATTCCACCCTGTTCTAAATGCTGAGCAATGTGTGTGTTTATTTATTTGTTCGTGGCCTGTGCCAGGGTACTTGAGACAAGTATGGAGAACGGGGAGTGGCAGCACTGATTGCTTCATGAGGGTGCTCTGCCTTGTGCTGTGGGAAGTTTGTGGATATCGTCATTGATTGGAAATGATTCCTGCCCTCAGAAACTGCTAGGCTACCCAAGGAGAGAACATGTGTAGAATTCTCACTGGGCAGAAATAACATAGGGGCAGAGTCAACAAATAACAGCCAAACTATAAAAGTGACAGACAGATACAGAAACTGAGGGGAAACAAAGCCTGGGAAGAGTTTGAAAGAAGGGCCAGATGGAGGTAAAAAGGGCAACTATGTTAACTGTGAGTAAACCCCAGAATTTACAAACAAGCTGCCTTCAACCTTTGAAGATGTCAGATGTGATGTTAAAATAGAGATGCACAATTGGATGCGAACAAAAAGACAAAGGGCATGTGGTGTGCTTCTTGTTGTCCTCGTGAGTGCTTGGGAGCAGAGAGCTGTAAGAGGTATTCTCGGGGATGCTCTGGGAGTTGATGGTGCTCTGAAGGACAGGGTCAGGATAGCCAGGGTTTTATAAGTTCTACATCTTCATGGCACTGAAGGCGACATAAACTCATAATTTAAGGGCAAAGTAAAAATTCTAGAATGGTAATAAACAGGATATATTATCACCCATCTGAAATTGCAAATATGTTACTTTGTTAACAATGTTATTTCTAGGGGTTTTACCCCACCCCTACCCCCTTAAACTCTTCCCTCTGCTGTAATAGAGAGTTATGGATAGAAATTGGCCCACCTTGATGTCAACAAGGATATCATGGCTGCCCCCAAACTTCTCAATGCTCATCAGTGAAATTGTGAAGGTGGACTTAGCATGTTCAACATCGTGGTTGTTGTTTGTTTTGAAAAGAGACTAGGTCATTGGTATCCTAAAGTTCACACATATCCATTGCATCCAACAAAGGGCGTCAAAGAGGGAGGCCAAATGCCTTTGACAAAACATAGTAGAATGTCAAAATTAATGTCATTATTGTTTTGAAACCATTCTAAAATTGGACAGTCTTACGTTCTCTCTTCTTTCTCTTCTTCCCGAAAGGACCTTCTGAAGAAATGCTATTCCGCAAAGGCCTCTTACCTATTTCAGCAGGATAAATTCTATGATGTCAGCTACGACACAGGAGACAAGGCTATTCAATGTAGTAGAAGACCGGATGCATTCAAGTTCTGGATGACTTGGAAGGCCCTGGGAACATTAGGCCTAGAAGAAAGAGTTAACCGTGCTCTTGCTTTATCTAGGTACGCACGTGTGTCCATGTATGTTTATGTCCCACATGTCTTGTTTACTCCTTGGACCAGCGGGCTAACTGGAGTATGTTCTTGTGACAGCAAACCCACTTTAAAGTTCTGATTATCTCTTTTCTAATTGCACGCCAGTAATCAAAGCAAATAACATGGCCAACCTTAGTGTCAAGAGCCAGGAAATGTACCCTGTCTTTTTTCAGGGAATACTGCAAAATTACATGGCAAAGGTTTGCTTATAAGGGCGGTTAAAGAGATGGCTTTGGCATCTTTAGACAACAGTTATAAGTCAGCAGTTATTATCATTATATTTAAAGAAGTAGTTTAAAAAATATGCAAACGCTATTATCTGTCAGGCTCTTTGAGTGGAAGCAGAATTAGCAGAAACCTTAACTCAAGGCGTTTTAATTAAAGAAAGGTAAGATTAACATCCCATGTTATGTGTAAACTTGTGTGGTGGTGACTTCTAGATGATTCATCTAGGGCCTTCAACAACATCGCCAGGCTTTTGTCTCCATCTTTCAGGTCTGCTCCCCTTCTTGTTGGGATTATTCTTATACAAGAAGGTGGCTGCCAAAAGTGTCAGATCTGTAACATCCCAGATTCAAGTTCATGATCAAAAACAGAGTATACTCCTCACTCAACAATTCCAAGTTTTTCTGATTGAGGCAAATTTCCCTCTTAGCAGTCACTGTTGCCAAGAAAATGTGACACCCTCATTGGCCATACTGAGTCATTTGCCTCCCTTGGGCACTTGGAAGACTGGAAATTCCTCCTATAGTGTATATAGTGAAGGTAGGTAAGGAATAAGCCTTCATTAGGAGTAGTATTTAAGTATCTCATTCAGAAGAAATAAGGAGACAGCTAGCTACTGGTCCACACCATAAATATTCATACGTGCTCATCAAATTAAGTTTAGAAAACTCAGTTCCTTTTTTTTTTTTTTTGTATTTCTCATGCTATTTAAATATAGTAGAATCTCTGCATTTTTTTTTTTTATCTAAGCTACTAAGTAAGTCAATGACAGGTGTCTAGAAATAAAACTAGATATAAATATTTGATGATTGTATTCGTTGTAAAGTTAACATTCACCTCAGGATGGAATTTAATTTATAGTCTAAGGATACTTTCTAATTTTTGCAGAGAAATATCACAGGAGGATAAATGTTAACATTTCAATTCAATTCAACAAACACTTATTGTTTGTAAATGTTTGTCAAGTTGAATTGAATTGAATTAACATTTCAGTGAGCATCACTGCAGATTCTGTGACCTATATTTAAATATTTGAAAAACAATCTTTCCTCTTTCATGCTGTTATTCATAATAGCTTCCTTTCCTCAACTTTCCACATTTTTGCTATCCAACTCTATTCCTGGGGTGAGCAAAAGTCACCCTCTTCTCCCACTCCTAATGTCAAACAAAAGGGCAGAGTCCTTTTTGCCATATCACTTGAGAAGAATATGAAATGATAAATTTAAGGAAAGTTTTTCTAGGATTAAGTTAGCAGAATAATGGCTTTATTTTTCATGACTTTATTTCTTTCAGTTGGTTTATTGGTTTCTGGTTTTGTTCTTTAGGACATTATTTCCTTAATTTGGAGGTCTAATCTATTTATACAAGTTCATGTGCAGTGGCATGGCAAACTGGATCTCAAGAGGGGAAAAATGACCTAAGTTATAATGTCTGCTCATATCCATGGTGCAAACACTCCCATTGAAGGGAACTGTAAGCTATCAACACTTGCATTTTGCGAAATTCCCAAATTTTTAACAATTGGCTCTCACTAATCAGTGTATCTTGCTCTAGAACACCACTGATCATGGAATTAGTGTAATCAGTAATTAGTAAACACTGAGTAGGGAGAGTTAAAATACCATTTCCCATCAAGCCTATTTATCCACTTGCTTTAGAATTTACCTAATCAAAGTGATTCTCATACATGAACGGAAGACTCAACCTGGCATAATTTCCAAGTCAGGGCAACACTATTTTGTTTCCAAGAAATATAGTAATTCCCTTATGCAGATAACAACTTTAGCAAAAGTAAAGGTGCTCAAGAGAATTGTTACTATTTGGAGGTGTGTCTTCAGCAGCCCAATATAGCTGAGATTTCCATTTTCCTAGACCCCAGATCACCTCAGGTTTGGTAAGTACTGGAAAACCTGTGCCATTTATTTCCTTTAACACACTGAGGTAAGGATTGTGTAGTTTGCCTAGAAACAATGTTCCTATGGTCCTGAATCCAAATGAAGTTTAGTTTTGAAATGTGAACATTGACCTTAAAACTTAAGATCCAGCTTGATGAACCAATGACTTGCTGTTCTCCTTAAGAGATAGTATGCTCCCTCTTCCTCTGGGAAAGCAAAAGCAGACATGTTAAAGAGGACAACTATTCCATTTTATGAGTTGTCAAAAATTCAACAAGAATGAAAAAATTAGTGCCTAGAAGATCTCTAAAGCTTTTTGTAATTTCCATTTGACCCTTATCATTCTAATTGATGAGAGAACATTTCTCTGAAGAAATATTACTGATTAAAAATTGGCTTTCTGCTATAGGTGTTTGAAAGCCAGTGACATAAGAAACCTAAAGCAACATGTGATTTTTAAGCATAATTGAAACCCAAAGGGCTAAGATTTCCAGCCATCACCTCCAGCACAAGGAGGCTGATTGTGCATCTCCAGTATCTGCCTAGCAAAGTGGAAACTTTTGACAAAAACCCAGTGTTACTTGTTGCTGTGGGCACCTTCTAGGTCTTTGGTAAGGCACTCAGCTTAAGTGGATATTCACTAAGGGGTAATTTTTAAAGCAATCTAGAAGAGTCATATGTATACGTCTTTTTTACAACAACAAACAGCTCAGGAACTCCCATCCTGCTACTTTGTTAGGTCTCCAGTGCATCATTTATTTATTCCCTTGACACACAATCTCTGTAATCTCTCTGATGGAATTCATTTCATTGACTTGCTTGAATACTGAGGGATTTGTTATTATCCATATGGAAAAGGTGAGCAGTTACACAGTGCACACTTGTGTTAGTGTATGTCTCTTAATGAAGAGCGGGAGACAGGCTAAAAGACTATGGGAGGGCCAATCTTTTCATATCTTTTGATAATAATAATCTTTCTAGAATTCTCAACAGCAGGAGAATGTACCATGTAGGTGTCTGTGATGAATCACACATGCCATGCAATATGTCCTAATATATGCAGAAAATACAGAAAGCAGATGCAGAAAAACAATCTCAGGAGATCTGGAAGGCTCTGTGCAGGAGAAGAAATTTCAGATGAAGGGATGAACCTGAGTGAACTATGTGGTCTGCGCCAGGGAGAAGCAAAGTGGCTGGTGAATTGAGGAAGAGAGTGGCAAGGCTACTTCCAGAAAGGAAAGCATGTCTGCAAAATGATAAGTGAATGCAAAATGTATTCAGTGGATTCACAGAAAAAACAAGGCTCTCTAATGTTGGACACACATTATAAGCAAAAAGAGGGGAAGTGTTTTAGCGCAAGATTATCAACATATGTTTCAAAATCAAGTGAGAATCTTAATGAAGGCTTTTGCCCCGTAGGATTTGTCAAAATGCTTGCTAATGTGTATTTTTCTCTCTTCTCTCTTTTTGCTGAACTTAGTGGGAAAGGATGAGTTTTATGAAGTCATTGTTGCTTTTTGAACCCATTTACCTTTTGGTAGAAGTTGCCTATCGCTCCTGCATAGTGTTCAAAAACTCAACGTACATCTTTTTTTTTTTTTTTTTTCTGGCTTGAATCAGATATGAATCGTTTTGTTAAATGTATTTTATCTTTAGGCTGTTTCCACATATTTAAAGAAAAGTTGTGAGGAATAAATCATTCCTATGAATGTACGCAGAAGTGACTCAAACCTTATTTGAATTATCTGTCCCAAACTCATTTTATTCAAGCATTTATTTAAGAAGATAAGATACCTTATAAAAGAGGCACTTCTAAACTAGCATTTCTAAAACTACACTCTGTGGGATAACAGACTTCCAGAAGATCTTAATAGGATGTTCTTCCAAAAGTGTCTCCGTGGTCAAATACATTTGAGAAATGCTAACTGCTTGATTATTCCTCCCTTGGAGGTTCACAGTGTTCACCAACACATTAAAAAATCAGAAGGTTTGCAATATAGACATTTTAACTTTTGCAACATTTTAGCTTCACTTTATCCATTGTGCAGACTGGTCACCAACAATTCTTGGCTCTTTTTTTCTTGACAACAGAACCTTAATTTTCTTTAGGTAACAATATTCCAGCTGGAAACACTGATTTAAATCAATCTCCTTTGACAGCAATTAGTTTAGGGGTAAATATGTGATTCCATTTCATTCAACAAGAAACAGAAAGAGTACTTTGAAGGTTTCTTGGAAGATATATGGTTACCTAAATTCATGTAAATGAAGAGTACATACTTTTTCTCCAGATCACCTCTTCTTTGGGGATATTGTGTAAAGAAAGATGTGACGCGTGGAGCTATGGCAGCCACCTTGTGAAAACTTGTCAGGCTGCTAGAAAATGTCTTGTTCTTGGTGATGCTGAAACATGGCCATTAAATGACCTTAGAATTAAGTCAAGTATACTTCCAATTGTAGCAAAGGCCATCTATTTGATATGCCCAGCATTGTCCAAATTTATTTGACAATGTAACCTTTTATGTGGGAAAGCTCTCAATCAGGTGTAATACAGGGCATAGTTTTGGAACTCTAGCATAGGCTTTTTAAGTACTTTTGTCATAGAAATTCCTCACTCAACCACCTCTACCCTCAACTCGGCTGGAATGTTACACTGGACTTCAGAGGCTCAGGGATTAGCTACAGTGAAGACCTTTGATCCTGACACAAAGTCCAGATCCACATAGTTGGCAAAAGCAGTTTTCAGTGCTCGATTCAGCCCTCTTTTAGGTCTTTTCACCAAGAAAAGCTTTAGCTAATTTATTAGGGATATTTTAAATTGAGACAATTTAAAGTACATCTAAACTTAATACAGTTATAACCTGTTAAGGAAGGATCTTACCATTTAATTCCACTCCTTTGCTCCACATATAGGGCAGGGTGAAAGAGGCCAAGGAATTACCTAGAGTCACAAAGTTGATTAGCTGCATAATGAGAATCTTCTAGAGTAATTCCTAGGGTTTCTGGTTGTGGGAAGCTTTTTCATAGCCTTGAGGTGTCGGGATTAACATAGGTCTCTTCATGATAGGATCATGGCAAAGCTTTCAAGTCAGCAGGTTACCTAGACATCTATGCTTGCAACAGGGAAACTTTTCATTGCCTAAGTAGAGATTATGTATTTATTATATTTGGACTTCACATTTTTTATTAAGGTCGTTTTCAAAAGGAACTGTATCTGTAAAACTCTGCAGAGATATAGGGTTAATAATCCCTCCCCCTACCCCACTACGTCCTGTTTCTCCTTCCCTTGTTAAATAGTATCAGTTTATTATTTATCTTCAATAATTAATCCAGGTCCATATATGCATGTGGATAGGGGGTCTTTTTCATTTTTGTAAATAATATTTTTGAAATTGAGTTGACATGGGCTTACAGTGTTGTTTATGATTTGGCAATATAGCATCTCCCCTTTCAGGTTTTATCTGCCCACACTCAACAGCAAAGCATCCATAGCCCTCCACCATAGTCCATTGTGATCTCTCCCGGCCAGGTCTTCTCCCCTCCCTCTCCCACTGTATAGCCAAAGGATTCCTTTTGCCTGAGTAGTATGTAATGATGTGAGGAATTGTCTGAAACCCGGGTGGCTGCAGTTCTACAGCCATAGTTTTAGGGTTAGTTATTGGTTTGGCTTTACTTGGCCCTTTATTTGGTTTCTCTATATTCCACATGTAAGTGACATCATTTGGTACTTGTCTTTCTCCTCCTCACTTATTTTTTAGTATAATCTCCTCCCGTTCCAAGATAAACAAAGTAAAAGAGACTCATTTTTTTTTACATAGATTAGAACTATTCCATTGTGTATATATATTATATCTTCCTAATTCATCCACTTAGTTTTAGGTACTTTGCAAATGCCAATATTTAATCATATGTGGAAAGTTATAAAATTAAATTGGGGGAAAATAAACACACATTGTAAAGTGGTCTATATTGTAGAATGGACTTTAGCAAATGAACATAGTAATAATAACTTGCCATTACCAGTTTCTATATTTTATAATTTTTGTTATGATTTTATATAATATTTTGTAATAGCCTTCTGAGATCAGAAGACCAATTATTTCACTCCAGCTCTATCAATGAAAGAACAGAGGTCCAAGATAAATAACTCTTTGTTGTTCTTAAATATTAATGAATATATTTAGTGACATGATCATATTCCATATGGTGATACCATAATAATTGAACCACAGATTTCAAAGTCAGTCTTCACTGTTGGATGTGACCTCCTTCCTCCCTTTCCATTCATTCTTTCTTCTATAGTATACATTCACAATGAGTACCCCGACAAGTACATTTTTTGTCAATGCCTCTGATCATTTCCTTATATTTAACCCCCAAATTGAAATACTGGCTCAAGTATTATGAATTTTTCAGGTTCATAATCAAATCATAGCTTTCAAGGCTAACCATTTCAAAAGGTTTTAATATATACATATATATATAGGCCCAGGAGAGAGGTGTCAGTGTTAATTTATTTCATGTTCTCCATATCATTTTAGCCTTTTCTCATTCACATTCCATATCTCATGGGATCTGTGCCTTTTGCTTATGGTGTGGTAATTCTCTTTTCCCTGGCATTTGAGATGATTTCATAGACATTATTTCAATGGCTGCAATTCACTTATTTTTTAACAAAATACCACTAACTAGTCTTCTTTCCCTTTGTTCAGGCCTTGGGGAAAATGTTGAGCTTCCTTGATCTTAAATGAACTTACAAAGCAAGACTACACAGTGAAAACCCTTTCTTCCAAGCCAGCTAGCTAGTGAAGCATCTGTGCTAAATCCCTTTCATAGAATATGAATGTCAGGCATACATGATCACAAATGTATATCTAAAGCCTAATGCTAATATGTGAGATAAGCTTCATGAGAACAATATGTCTTTTTTTATTACAGGGCATTGCAGTAAGTTCAGGAGTATCTACTAATCCTATACCTGTACTCTTAATTATTTCTAAGGCTTGCACTTAAACTTTGTCTCTGCATCAGCAATATGATATGATCATAGTGTTATTATTCATCAGTCATACTTATGGAATTTTTAGATTGAAATTATAAAAACTATTATGATTTATTTTTAGGTACCTAGTAGAAGAAATCAAGAAAAGAGAAGGATTCAAGTTACTGATGGAAGTAAGTGATTGTGGAATTGTGCTTCAGATTTTTTTCAGTCAACAGTGATGAAAATAGTGATTTTTAATCTGTTATATTTCATTGGTTTTTGTGTTACAGACTTAGAAACAAGTCATTAGCTTAATTCAGAGTCCATTATGTTAATTTACTCTATTAGTGAGTATTTTTCCTTTGTTGGGTTCACAGAGAACACACTTGCCTTTAAGTATTGAAAATTAAAGTGCTCGATAATAATTACCAAGGATAATACTGAATAAATTATGACCTCTATCTTGATATATAAATTGCATGATGATTGTAGTGCAAATATTCAACTGTGTTATAGTGGTGCCTGCAACTGAAAAATCAATTAAGTGAATGAACAATAATGCACACAGTTTTCTCTTTTTATAAAATAATGAGAGCATATTAGCTTGGGAGCAAAGGGAAAATAAGTCATTTTGTTGTTGGAATATGTGCATAATAAGAAATAAAATTATACAGATAGAATTGTTCTCTAAAATTTATTACTAAAATTATGAAGAATATTTTTTCATTCTGGTTTTTAAGACACATAAAGTGGGAGGTTATCTTAAATCTTATAGTATGTACTTAATAGCAGTTTCGAACATCATGTAAAAATCACTTAGAGAGTGAAGTCTAGTAATCTATACTGTATAGAAGCAGTCTGGCTAATGTGTGGCATTCCTTTAATTTAGCAAATTTATTGAGTAATTACTATATATCAGACACAGTTCTAGGCACTGCAGAGACAAGACAGCGGTATTCTCTACTCTCCTGGTGCTTACATCCAAAGGGAAAATGATAAATAATAAACAAAAAGAAATAATACACATGAAACATAAGATAGTGAGAAGTCTTAAGAAACCCTTGAAAGATAATCTAGTTATACAAACTACTGCAATTACAGCTGTGGCAAGAACTAGACTGGCAAGAAAGGGTGTGAAATGCTGACATGGGAGTGTTGGTGGAGGAGAGTTTGTTTGGTGTAGATGGTCCAGAGTGCCCGCTGAGTCTGTCTTTGAGCTGAGACCCGGATGACGGTAAACATAATGCCAAGCAGGGATCTCTCGGAAGGCACTCTAAGTGGAATCATTGAACATCTACAGTCCTAAAGTGGAAATGAGTTCTCTGAGTCTCAGGAGCCAGAACGTTTAGTAAGGTGTATTAAACAAGGGAGGGTGTAATAGGTGATGGGACAGATGAGGGCAGAGAGCATATCAGGTGGAGTCAGGTGGGTTATGCTAAGATCTTTGGCGTTTATCCCAAGTGTGGTGATTGGAAAAGTTTTAAGCAGAAAGGAGTCTGACTTCCATTTTTCAAAAGTTTTTTTTCTATGTTTATTGAGGTAAAGCTGATTTCCATCATTGTATCCACTTAGGGGTTATAAGTTCAAGCCTCTACAACTGTGTATTTTCATACCATGACTACACCAGTTATCCCACTAATCCCCCGCCACATTCCACTGAATCCCCACTTTCCTAGTCCTGTCACCACCCTCCATTTCCAGTTGCTTCAGTTTTGCTATCAGATGTCAAGGTTGGTTATTGGCTTGTCTGACTTCTTTTGAAGGTATCATTTTGGATGTTAAGAGAAGAAAAGAATAGGGGACAGGATGGGAAGGAATGACAAGAAAAGAGTAAATGAGCCAATTGCGAGGCCACTGCCATAGTCCACGTGAGGTAAGGTGTGGTCTTCAGATGAGATCAAGAGATCAGGGGCCTGTTCCCAAGAGTTCTGGCCACCGCTGCCACCACAAAAGTAGCATCTGGTTTACCAGGTCTAAGAAATTCCTGGAAACTAAGGATTTTAAGAGATTGCAAAGGTAGCAGACAATTTCATATTTAAGTGCCTTTTTTGGCAACACTACAGGGAAACAAGAAGACAAATTTAGAATGTGGAATATTCTACATGATAGCTGACCTGATTTCTCCAACAAGTTGGTAGCTTAAAGAAAATAAAGGCAGAAATGCTAATGATCATTTTAGGTTGCAAGAGACTTAAGGGGTATCACAACCAAATGTAACATACGGAGCTAGTGGAGTTCTGTTTTGAACAATGGTTAAAAAGTGAATTTTGAAATAACTGGGAATGTTCTGTTGTGAGCTGGTAATTGGTTGCTACTAGGGAATTATTGATAATTTTGTTAGGCACATTAATGTCATTGTGACTATGTTAAAAATGTCTATTTTTTTGACATGTATTCTGAAGCAGGTAGAGGGAAAACAACATCTATGTGATTGACTTGAGTCGGAATCATCATCTTTATTTTATTGAGGTTGAGTTTCATCTTTATATTCTTTAATTAGATCACCTCCTCCATTACTCTGGTTATGAGCATTATAGTGTTTGTCAATATACTGTATCCCCCAGAATTGTACTTCCTTCTGATAGAGCTAAGAGGGAAAGTGCTGAGAAAAAAATATGAACTAATTAAAAGTTTTTTATGCATTTTCCTAAAGTCTTAAAAAATTGAGACTGGGAGAAAAATGTTACTACCATCTCTAGGGAATTGCAAGTCTTCACATATTTGTAATGAAAGTTAAGCTAGCTTGGGTCTTCCTTGGAGGCACAGTGGGTTAAAACACAGCCCTATGAAGCTATCCACAGCCACCCCCGACCAGGGAGGTGACCCACATAGTACAGCAGACCTCTCCTGAGTCCACCTGCTGCTCCCCTCAGCAGTGTATTTCAGTAGACCTGGTTGTTCTGCTCCCCATTCTGTCTCTGGTGAATCCTCTCACCTCCTGTGCCTCGGGTCTGTGCCCTAGTTCTTGTGTGCACAAACAAATACACATTTAAAAAAGAAAGTTAAGCTAGGTTTGGATCATTCGGCAGCCTCTGCCCTGCGTATTACATCTCCAGGAGGCAGCTGGCCCCAGACCAGTGCTGGTGGCTTCCGAAATGGTAGTCCAGATTTCTACTTCAAAGGAGTAGTGTATGTGTTCTGCATTTGCCTCTTACTTCTATGCCATTTGGAGAAACAAAGTAAATTTAGACCTTGAATTTTACATTGTAAGTGCCAATTTGATTATTCTCTTTTTGTTAGCAAGTGCTTTCTTTGGATTAATTAAATATAACTAACGCAGACTTCAGAGAATCTCCAACAAAGGTTTACTTGGAGTGTAGGTCTGTGAGATTGCAGAATTTTCAGTTTAGGAAAAACTGAAATCTGTATATATATTTAACTTTTTCTCACTGTTTTTGCAGAAAGCGATGAGAGTGTTACATGGAACCCTAAAAACAGTAAATGAAAACAAGACAGAATGCCCAGTACTTGAATATCTTATCCTGGAAAGAGCAAAAATATTGTGTAGCTTCTTGAAGCTGATTGAAAGTTATCATTTCAAATGAATTCTGCATTATTCATAGGCCCCTGACAATCATATCTTTATTTTTCTGTGTTAGATCTAAGATCTAATAGATGCTTTCCTAGGGGGCATTCATTCCTTTACTATCATTCACATATTTTATTTTGATCTCTTCGGAAAGTCCTAATTATTCACTTTTTGTTGTTCTCTACCGAGTTCCACATTAGCAAGATTATTTAGGATTCATAGACTTTCTGAATTATAAAACGTCTTCAAGGACACCTACTTAACTTCCTGCTCTGTGTGGGAAACCGCTCCGGAGAGACAGTAGTGGATCAGCTGTGCCTGCACGTTTCCTGTGCCTGGAGAGTTCGCGGTTTCTTCCTCTTCCGGGGAACGCTAATGATTCCTATTCTAAAACTAATAATGCCTGCTATTAGTATCAAGCTATTAGTATCAAGCATATCGTAATGTAGAGTTATCCTTTCTATAGTTTTATTTGATCATTGCAACCTTCTAGTTGCTGAATCCGATGGAATCCAGTGCACATTCTTTAATTTTTGCGGCTGTGTGCAACATTTTTTGCTATTTTGTCCCTCTTCCTCTTCCCGGTCTGTCCTGCCTTGAGTTGTTTGCTTTCTCTCCCAGCTTTCTTCTTTACATTCTCAGCCTGTATCTGAATGTCTTGCCATGTGGATATACCTTTAAATGTTCTTTTCGACTCTTGTCTTTGGCCTTTCCCTATATCTACATACTCCTGCCAAAATGTTTTCTCTTTTTCTAGAGTTTGCCATCATTACATCATTACATTCTCCAAATCCGCAGCTACTTCTCAATTCAGGCTGTCATCATGCCTTGGGTTGGCCCTGTCTTCTCCCTCATCTCCTATTCTTTTTAACCAATTCTCTTAGAGTTTTCCAGCCCTTTCTCCAACCTATAGCCATGCTGACCTTCATAAAATGAAATCGGTTCTCTAGATTGGAACTTTCCAGTGACTCCACCTTGCCTCTGGGATCAAGTCCAAACTCCCAAGCATGACATCGGAGGAAGCCCGTCATGAAATGACTCCCAGCTTCACCTCTCTTAGTTACAGTCTGTCTTCTGTTCAGCCTGAGTACTTGCCACGCCCCTCAATACATTAGCTTTTTCATTTGCACTATTACTTTTGCCAGGAATATTTCTTGGATTATGAAAAATTTCTTTTGTAATGATCATTCTATTGCAGTTTAAGTGCCTACACCTACCTTCATCACTAGCTCTGAGGTCCTGAAGATAAGCAGATCGTGCCTGTCATTTTTCTCAACCCAACGCCTGCTTCAATAAATATCCAGAACATCTAAAAATATGCTTATTAAATTGAATGTTTTGATGGCTGTTCTTTACACATGCTGTAGTTTTTAATGTGCCCCTTCAACTATGAATGCAAATATTAACGTAGTCATGTATCTCACCTAGTACAAATTTTAATGGGGCTATTCATCAACTTGAAAAGGACATCTCTTTCTACACTATAACCCCAAATAATCACCATTATGTTAATAGAGTACCTGCTAGAGATAGTCCTAAATGCTGAAAATAATCTTCACTTGTCAAATCAACTCCTGGGGGGCAGGCAATATCATATTCATTTTATAGATTAGGAAGCCGAAGTCTAGAGCATTTGACACTTATCCAAATGCCTGGTGAAGTTGGGATTCAGTTCACATCCGCGTGACTCCAAAAAGGCTGCTTTTGCTACTCATTGTCATCTTTGAGATTTTTCAGTAGTTTAATTAGATATTTAAAACTTATGAGCTTAAAGTCAATTAAAATCCACCATGTCCCTTTTTGCCACTTTATATTTGCATGATTGATTGTTTCAATCTATGTATTAGATTCTGCATTTATACGTATTAAAATACAGAGTGCAAAAAAAAATAAATAAAAAAAAATACAGAGTGCTAGCTTTGTTTATTACTACGATTGTGATGTAATGATGTTGTAAATGAAAGAGATGGATTTTTATTGTGACAAGACTTCGGTTTCGGTTTTAGATAATGAAAATGATTCCATGTTAGTGGTCACTGACTTTTTTTCCCATTTGTTTAGTAATCCTTACTGGAATTGACATCAAAACACTAATTTTACTTCTTGGGATATATCTATTTTTTTTTTTTTAACATCAGGATCGTGTATACCTACCTTTTACATTTTAGTGTTTCTCTATGAACTTCTAAAGATTATGATAATGACATTACTGCTGCTTTTTTTTAAATATACTCTTCACTATTATTGTCTGCTATAGATACTTAGAACTCCCAGTTATGTTATGCTGTTAGAGAATATACACTGAATGTGTTCCTAAGATCTTCAAGTGGCCAGGCTTTCATTTAAGTAGGGAATTAAGAGGCACATGAATGTTTCTACTCTGAAATTATACATTACTGCTTTGGAAACTCTTAGTCATCATATTAAACTACAGAGATAAAGAGAGAAGAAAAACTGAAATATAGTCTTCGTGAATATTCAGAGATATTTTCCCATTCTTTAATAATTTATATTAATTTTGGAAATGACCATAACAAAAGTATTGTTCCAAGTGGGCCATAAAATTTCCTCCAATAATGTGTCAAGTGGGCTTCCCAAATTTTCAAGTGTTACAGTACTGAACCCACCCATTCTAAAAGAGGTTGGACAAAAGAAATCACACATCTGTTACTTCTAAGATATTTGAATAGAAATTTACTAAAGGAAGTAAATTAAAAGGCGACTCTAAAGGTCTAAGTACTCCCATAAAATATAGAGATCGGGCAGCAAATACACACTAATGCAAAGTGATTTATGATCTTGCCATGCAAGTGAAAAGAATAACTGACTTAATGGTGTATTAGTCCGGGTCCAATAAGTAGATAAAAACTGCACAGTAATTTAAAGTGAGAAATACAGTATAAAAATTATTAGCAGAACATCGGAGACATGGGATTACCTCCCAGGCGAGAAAGAGAACTGTAAAAAATTCAGAAATGCAGCTATAGTGTTAGCTGAAAACACTCAGGAATCGCAGCTATCGTGACCAACCTCCACACCTAGAACTCATCACCAAAGTAAGCTGACTCGTCTCCCAGGACTGAGAGCCAACCTTGGCTGGAGAGAGACAATGTAATTTATACTGGCTAGGAAGACTCTCACTGGTGTGAGGAATTCTCTGGAAATCCACCTTGGGAGTGTGGGGACAGGGCAAGGCTTTGGAACATGGTCAAGTTACCCACAAGGTGCCAGAGAAGCCAGAGGCAACACTTCCCCGTGAAACTACCAGGGAAGAGTACTAGAAGCAACTACTCTGGCTGCCCACCTGGTCTCAGTCAGCTTTGAAATCACCCAAAGAGGTGCTCTTGAGGGGTGTTAGGGGGCGGGGCACTTCCTGCTGTCACTGATGCTCCTGAAAGGAGCCACATGAACTTCAGGACACCATGAGTTGTGCATTTTAGGAACCAGGAAGAGATACTCTTCCTTCTCAATGTCCCTCCAGCGCCCTCTGCTGATAAAGCTTAAGATTGGACCAGATGGCACGGAGAAATAGTTAGCGTTCACCTCTGTTATTGCAGGACACCAAGAAAGGGTGGATTTGGAGCTGAGAGGCAATAAACTAAGTGGCATAAATGATACCTAGAAAAACACTTTTTTATATAAAAGCAAGAATTCCCAGAACCTCGTGACAAATAATTATTTTTCTTCTATTTTCTAATTAGTTTCTTTGAAAAGACTTATTTCCATTAAATGATCAAATAATATGAAATACCAGTACTTTCTATTGTAGATAAACAAAAACAATTATTAATAAGAAATCCAAGTATATTGTATAGATTTGTAAAGTCTATTATTGTATCATGATTAATGTTTATGAGAATAAAGCGGATTCACATGGATCGCCATTCTGAACTACTCTGAGTTTTGAATATTTGTAACTCTTTATTGTTTGTCAAACCCATAATCATGTTAGAAATTTAACAAGTGAAAGGATGAGAAGATCAAAGAATATATCTTGTTGAGCTGGGAATGTCTCTGGATGTTTTTTTTTTTTTTTTTTTTAAGATTGATTTATTTGTACAGAACTGGGGTACAGGCTAGAGATGCGGAGGGTGAGAGGATTCACCAGAGACAGAGAGGGGAGCAGAACAGGCAGATCGACGAAGTACACTGCTGAGGGGAGCAGCAGGCGGGTCAGGAGAGGTCTGCCTCGCCATGTGGATCTCCATCGGGGCAGGCGGGAATCGAACTCATGCGGAAGTGGCTTAAGCTTTCCAGTGCTGTGCTTTAACCCACTGCGCCACCAGGGAGGGCCTCTGGATGTTTTCTTGTGATTTAAAAGCCACTAAAGTTACAACTCTGTATCATACTAGTTTTGACTTTAAAATACGTGAGATGCTAGCTATCTGAAGTACTTTGAAACTTTATACCTATGCTGGAACATAACTTGAATGGTTATTAAGAACTATTATGACCTTGGTCAACAAACTGGATTTGGTAGTAAAATGGAAGCCATTTCAAGTGTGGGCCAATCTGGTGGCCTGCAGGTTAAGTCTCAGCACTGTCACCACTATGGGTTAAGTTTGATCCCCGGCCTGGGAGCTGACCCATATGGTGCAGCAGACCTCTCCTGTTCTGCCCACTGCTCCCCTCAGCAGTATGGTTAGAAGATCTGTCTGTCCTGCTTCCCACGCTGTCTCTGGTGAACCCTCTCACTCCCTGTACCCCTAGCATACAATCCAATTCTTCTACAACATACACACACACACACACACACACACTTAAAAGACATCTTTTAAAAAACATGCCATTATTGTGAAGTCATGAGGAAGGTGTTGAGTGGGTGGGTATGGCCCCTCATTTTTCCTACAGTTCTGTGTCTAATTTGTTAGGTCCTAATATAATGTTCCAAATCACTAGACAATGAGTACAGGTCTTATGGTTTTCTTTGACATGAGACACCCTACATTTTTGTCCAGTGAAAATGGAAGTTGTGGTGGAAAAGACCTTGTCTGTGTGGCAATGGCTAGGCTAAAGCCTGCTTTGGAATATTATCCCATGATTAGTCAAATCATGTCTGATGGAAGAGCAGATGACTGAGGTATGTCTGTGTTAGGTCAGAGTTTCTTAGACAAGCATGACACTATGTCCATTTCAGAATCGATACCTCTTAAAATGCAAATTCATTAACATTTTCTATGATGAACTTTATCAGACTGCATGCATTCTGGAAACAGGAACTGAGAGTCACTGTTTTGAACAAGTCCCATTCTGAGTCATGTCTTACTGATATTTGACAGCCAGGAGTCTAGGGGATCATATTTTTCCCCCAATGCAGTGTTGGTGTGGATCATGGCAGGGTAGTAAATCCCAAGAATATCATGTGCTATCAGTTAAATGATAATCTGGGATTTTGCATTTGTCAAGTGCAGCAGATAATAGCCAAAGTTAGCTCCTGTAAGCGGTAAAGGAAATCCTGGAAGGATATAGTAGCATAAGAAATAGCTTAAGGATCAGGGTTGAAGAGAGAAGTAGAGCATCTCTGGACATTGGAACTGATGATCAGTGCTGGACTGATTGAGCCCCAGGCATCATCATCATCATCATCATCATCATCATCATCATTATCAGTAGTAATAGCAGTACTCCTGATCTTGTACTAATTCCTTACTAGAGGGAAGAGCACCCACCCTCTAGGTGTGCCCAATTGAGATCAATACTTTCCAATAGACTTATCAAAAGTAAAGCAGAATGGATGTCTACTGTATCCAATTCTGATTTGTTATCAAAGTAATACAAGTAGGATAGATTTTACAGAAAATACCTACGAGTTTAATTGCATCCTAATGACCTGTTAATAAATTGATTTTCCTTTTTTTTTTAATCCCCAGCCTGAATATGCCAATATTTGCTTTTGGTACATTCCACCGAGCCTCAGAAAGATGGAAGAAGGACCTGAGTTCTGGGCAAAACTTAATTCGGTAAGTAACAAAGAAATTGTATTTGCCTTGATGAAGTAGATTCACTGTCTTTTATCTCTTGATCCTATAAGTAAGTCTGTACTTGCAGGAGCCACTTAAAGATCCAGAGAGGTGAATCCTAGTGTATTAAAAAATAATGAAGTACCAAACAGTTGTAAATATTGTTAGCATTCAACAAATTAACATTCTTGGAGTACACACAAATTCAAAGTAATTGTGCTGTTTATGAGATAATTGTGGAATTTATTAGAAGTTCTCATTTACAGTTCATGTCAGAAAATATAATCCAGAAATGGGGCCCAAAGTTAAAGCTGGATGATGAACAGCTTCTCCTTTTCACTCTGCCAGGACATAACTGTGACTGTATCACGTCACTTGGAGACCATGTTCAAAGTCTAAATCTGGTATCCTTTATGAGTGTGAGACTTTCTGTTTTCTCCCCCAACAAAGACCCTGCATCTTATGCCCAAGGGACTTAGGTGATAGAAAAGAAAAGAGATATCTGCATGCTTTCCATCTGATCATTGAACAAAGCATGCTTGAAAGTGTCTTTCACACGCATCTGGCAAGGGCTAATGATCCAGAGGACACAGCCTGATGTTGCAGGGGCTTCTTTTGTCTCACCTGCACCTCTCCTGACATGGTCCTACCAGTTAAAGTCCTGCCTGGGACCCAGATTTTTTTTTTTTAAAGATTATTTATGCATACAGAACTGGGTACAGACCAGAGGTGCGGGGCAGAGGGAGGATTCACCAGAGACAGATCAGGGAGCAGAACAGGCAGATTAGACACTGCTGAGGGGAGCAGCGGGCGGGTCAGGAGAGATCTGCCACACCATGGGTCACCTCCAGGGTAGGGATCGAACTCATGTGGAAGTGGCTGTAACTTCCTAGTGCTGTGCTCCAACTCGCTGTGCGACCAGGGTAGGACTAGGGACCCTGATTTTTAATAGCTATCAGTATCATGAATCAACATACTTTGATCCCACCTCCTCCCCAAAGGGACATAGAAAATATTGAAGTGAACCAGTGGAATCCCCTGGGGACTCTAGAGCTGTGGGAAGTAGACTGAAAGTTCACGATGGGTCAGTGCCACAAGTCTGTGGCCCTCCACCCCTGCCTCTTCTCTGCAGAAGCATAGTTGCCGTCATGACCCTGGTTAGTAAAAGCTCTCACCCTCCACTCCCGCCCTCCCTCCATGGAGAAATCAATGATCGTTTCAACACTTTTTCAAGGTGATAGCCCTTCTGTTTGCCCTGTAGGAGAAAAGGCAAACTCCCCTGTCAGGCAAGCAACCAACATTTACTGAGGGCTCACTGTGCTGTGCACTGCAGATATATCAAAAAGACTTGGTCTCTGCCCTTGAGAAGCTTGCTTGTAGGGAGACAAATGAGCACAGAGATAATCATGGTGTAACTTGGAAGTGCTTGGATGGACATGAACCCTGTTTGCAGTGAAAGCAGGAAGAAAGGAAATCTATCCTGGTGTGTGACACTACTCTGAGCCCTGAACAATAAGTGGACGCCAGGCAGGGACAACATAAAGCAGTGGATTCCAGGCAGAATTACAGCGTGATGACAGAGGCTTAAGAGAGAAGGCAGTGATTGGGAGACCACAGGGAATCGGTGGGGCAGCGGTGGGAAGGGAGATCAGAGCAGCAGGCACAGAGGGCAGGTGGAAGGGTCTTCCATGAGACTGTGCCACAATCTAATTATGAGGAAGAGGAAAGACAGGGTCTGTAAGCGAGAGCCCCACATAACGTCACCTGCTGCATCTCCTTTTAGCCTCAGGTCAGTTTCTGTTTATTCATAGTTTATTAAGCCTCCTGCAAGGTAGCATAATAGCTACCCACTATATAAATATTCTACCTCTTGTCAAATCTGGGATCAGGCAGCCAAGCTGGGGAGAGATGGATGATGTTATCTGCGCCTTTGCTATACCAGCCCTTCATTACCAGTCTCAGGCAGTTAGCACAGCCCTCGGGATTGGTCTGGCATTTTTGTCACACAATGCAAATAGGAAAGTGCTTAAGAATACATTTCAGATGGTAAGTAACCCATAAAAAGAAATAAGCAATGGACAATGTGAAAATTTAATGGTGAGGTTTCTGGGGACGGTTTCCATTCTGATGGAATGTGACTGACATTTTTTTGGTGGAGTGGGGAGTAATTGCTTAGAGTTGAGAAAGGTACATTTGCCTGTATGTGTGTGTGTGTGTTTTCCTCACTTTTCTATTGTTAAGAAAGCCATGAAGAATGCGATATTTCTGTTTTACTGACTCAGACTGCTGTGCAGACACAGTTCAGGATAACTAGAAACATTTAGGGATTTTTTTTTTCTTTTACTCTTCCTTTTTTAAAAGATTTATTTATTTATGCATATAAGAATGGGGGTGCAAGCCAGAGGTGCAGGGTAAGGGGATAAGTGGATTCACACAGAGATAGAGTTGGGAGCAGAACAAGCAGATCTACTAAAAAACCCTGCGAAGGGGAGCAATGGGTGAGGCAGGAGAGGTCTGCTGTACCCTGTGGGTCAGCCTCTGGTCAGGCGGGGATTGAACTCATGCTGCAGCTTGATAGCACTATGTCTTTAACTCCTGAGCCCCTCTTCCTTTATTGAAAAAATTGTTTACAGTATTCTCAGAAATTAACTATTAAATACTCAGAATTCACTTTCTATCTTAACTGGAAATTGAATGGAATCAGGATATTCTGGTCTACCCAAGAATTTGCCAACAATGATCTGGTTGTACCTATACTTCTCCTTCCTTAATTTTTCTGGTTACTTGTTCTTGCCCCATCTCAGATACTATTTTAATTGTTATGGTTGCTTCTGATTAGTAAACATAAATGCTACAAACAGATTCCCAGTTTCCTTTTATTCTCTTTGTGTGGGGGTGTGTGTGCATGAATTTGGCAAGGAAGTGAGGCATATGTAGCTATTGTTGATCTATGTAGTTTTAAGCTTCCTGTTGTAAGAGAATACAAGTCTGTGATTTATAAGCCAGAGTGTACTTTCAACACACTGGATATTTATTTGGGGGTTTATCTTGGATTCAGAATCACAAACAAATAAATAAACTGAATAAGACTTCACCCTTTTGACTCAGATGAGTGTTAGGTTGGGCTGTCAGATTTCTGAGTCAGTGGTGTGATGAGTCCTTCCTTTGTCAGCATGTGGGGAGAGGAGTTATTCAGAAATGAATCCGGAGCTTCAGAGTGTACAGTTGTGCCTGTGTGGATGTGTGTGTACACATGCGTATACGTGCACCCATGGGTATGTGTCCACCCATATGTATTTTGTGCAGCCCTGTGGATATGCACATATGTGTATATGTGCACTCAGGGGCCTTGTGCACCCATGTATATATGTGCACCCACGGTGTATGTGCACACATGTGTATGTGCACACTTGCTTGCATATGTGCAGCCATAGTATGTGTGCACATGTGTGTGCATGTATGTATGTCCGTGGGTGTGTGTACATGCACGTGTTTGTGCATGTGTATGTGTGTAGATGCATGTGTGGGGGACAATTTGGGGAACACTGTCACTCTACAGTCTCATGACAAGATGATCATCATTCTGTGACTATATTTAATCACAGAGTACAGCAGCTTCTCTTTTTAAGATGTCCTCCATAAAATGCTCTTCTTCTGAGTCTTTCGAACTTATGGTGACCTAGGTCTTCATTAGTTCTCTGCCCAGATTGTATTTGCCTTTTTTTTTTTTAATGGTCTCTGCCTCCTACTATCTCCTTTTTCTGTTTATTTTCTTCATGTTGCATGCTCATCCCCCTGTCCTGCTTAATCATTTTACTCTTCTGCCAGAAACCTCTGAACGGCTTCTTCTTTTCTCCACCAGCAGTTTTCAACTGTAGAATTACTAGAATTACTGCTAAGTTCCCATTACTCTCCTAAGAGGAAACCAACAGAAAGCATAACCCACCTGCATTTAATTTTATAGAGAGCAGTAGAATGTCACACATGTAATATAAAGGAGAAATAAATTTGTAATAAATATAAATTCATTACATAAAAGCTTGGGCATGGCCATTACTACAAGCCATGAAGAAGTGGTCAGATTCTCATGCATAGTCTCCTGCATAGAATGTAGACATCATACCCTGGCAGACTTTTATGAGTGACATCACAGTGCAAATAATGGAACACGGTGGTCTTCATAAGATAATTTTCAAAACAGCCATACAACTCGTGGGAAAGTATTGAGAGGGCATTTGCCCTTTGATTCACATGGTAGTGGAATATTCAGTATTTATTTAAAATGGATGTAGAATATATTGCATGTGTATATAAAACAGAGCTAGGTTCTAGATTTGGGTAATTGTGATCAGGTTTGTCACCTGCATTTCAAGGAGGATATTGGAAAGTCACATGTGTAGGATAAAGGGTAGATTTTTGCTCAGGCAGCTGGTCCCCTGCTCCTCAACACCAATGACAACCTTCAGGTTTGATGAAAACCAAACACATCTCCCCAAATTTCAAGAAAATTCCCTTAAGAGTGTGACACCATCTTGAGAAAGACCGGTTCGCAGGATAAAATTTAGTAACTGATGCCTGCTTGGCACCCAAAGGACTTCAGGTTGAATTCTCAGGTATTTTCTATCTTTTATGGCTTCTAGAACTGACCCTAACTGACAGAGTTAACTGAGTCAAAGAAGTTTCACCAGTTTTCTTTCTAGTTAGGAAACAGGCTAGAAACTAGGTAATAGATACTTTTCATTAACTATATTGGCAAATTACATTGGTTTTAATGTTAATGCCCAATGTCAGTGATGCTATCAGATGATCAGACGATCTAAGCTGCTGATGGGCATATAAGTTTTTATAAATTTTCTGGAGATCAACTTTATAAAATGGACCAAATATTTGTCATGTTTTTTTCTGCCTGTAATTCTACTTAAAGAAATGGATCTTTTGAAATAGGTATAGAATTGTGAATAGTTATTCAGAAAATCACAGTCATTATTTGTAATAGCAGA